CAAATTTTTTTCCTGCCCAAATTTAATTATAAGAAAAATATGAGTGTAATGCAACCCCTGTTAGTAATGCATCAGTCAATTCGAGGCCGAGCTGCTGACAGTTATATGTTGTGAATATGTTATAAATATGAAAGGATGTTCTTCAAATAATATCAACAGAAATTTGATTCACTAATCAAACAACGTTGATTCACGTCAATAACTCCTGAGTTTCGCTATGTAATTCTGGCTTGATAAGCAATGAAGAAATGCATGCATAAAATTGAGAACATGCCTTTACAACCCCCTGTCCTTGACAGATAAGCCAATCTGCTTTTTTTCCAGTGATATCCTCTGTGTAGTTGTATTCTGATAGGAAAGGGCGTGCATGTCAAAAACTCAGGAATAGGCCCAGGGTTGGCAAAATTTGCAAATGCCCCACCCCTGGGACTGATGAGGCTGGCAAATGCCCTTTAGTAGCCCCGGGGCGGGGTGGGGAGTGGGGGGGGCGGGGCGGTGCTGGGCAGCTGGAATCGACTGATGCTTAATGTCTGTGAATCAGCATTGATATCCTTGTTCTGGGCCCTAACGGACTCCACAAATTACATTTACCAGAAATGTGTTTGGAATTTCCCTTTAACCTGAGTGGAAAATTGACAATGGCTTTTGACTGGCCAATCATGGCACATACTCAGAATTGAACTAGGATTTTGGCACTGTTTCACAAAGGGAAGTATAGTTCCATCTGTAGCACAGGCTAGTGAAAGATAGACCTTACAATTACTGTTGCTCATAACATTCAGGTGGACAGTCATCAACCATTTCTTTGTCCTTCTCAAAACCCCAGACATGGAGTTCAAAAATTCATTGAACTTGTTGTGACATTTTTAATTGCCAAAGTCCCTTAAACCTTTTTGAGCTGCAAATTGTATATTAGAGTAGAATTACTTGTTTTGCAAAACCTCACAATTAATTAGCTCATTAGTTATATAAAGGGTCAGTAATTAAGAAACAAGGGGAAAAGAAGCTAAGACAGAACCACCACCACCACCCTGTTTGTAATGTGACTGACAAACTCTTCAACAAATATTGACCACTCTTAACTTGGTAATTTACCAACTTGTCTTTTCCTTTATTTTTAAGCTCTCACAAGTGACCATTCAAAGGTTAATAATTATATCATATTTGGGCAAATATGTGCTCAACAAAACTTTATATAATCATAAGTTACCCGAGTGCATTTAATTCGACTAAACATTTGCTCTTTTTTTGTTTAGAAAAGAATGCGTTTACAACTCCCTGAGCAAGAAGAGGTACATACTGTACATATTATGTTGATGAATCTTACATGCAATCTTTCAGTTCTAAAAAGTCAAGATAGCAGTACGATCGACCAAATTAGCCACCAGCATTTTATTATAACTTTCCTCTCTTTTTGCAGAACCCAAGCACAAGCTAACTTACATGCTACACATATTATTTTCAATTGATGAATCTTGCATGTAATCTTTCAGTTCTAAAAAGCCAAGATAGTGACCAAATTAGCCACCAGCATTTTACTATTTTTCACATATCTTTCTGTAGAACCCAAGCACGAGCTAACCTACATGTGCCCTGGCTATATCCCTCTGCTTATAAGCTCATCAACATGGAAACAATAATATTATCTTTCCCCTGCCAAACCCATCCAAAACCCCTTGACACAGCATGTACACACTTGCCTAAATTGTTGTTATTTGGGGCTTATTAACTAGAATTTTATAGTATTTTAGGTGTAAGCTGTAGGATTACAGTTTACATATAGTAAATTATTCTGACAGTACTCTCCATTTTGTGCATGATTGAAGCTCTTTAGACAATTAGTGAGAAACTGTGATAGTAATAAACAAAATAACAAATATTACAAAATTATCATTTAAAAAGGCTGTATTTCACTGATTCAAGTCCATCACTGCAGCTGATTCAACTCAATGCACTGGTGTATAAAATTAACACACACTGAATAGAACAATTATTTTGATAATTTAATATTCAAATTGATACATGGCTATTAGGCTTGGGGGAATTTAAACAAAAGAAATGTATTGTTCATTTCTGAGCCTCAAGATGTCATTTCTTTTGTTTTAAATTTATTCCCCCAAGCCTGCCAAGTATGAATTTTAATTCATTGATATGGTCTATTTATTTTTGTTTTAGGCATTTGAACGTGAGATTGAAGCCCACAGAGCAGTTGATCACCCAAGCGTCCTGGCCTTACATGATGTGGATGTGGTTTCCAAGGGAACATTTAAAGAAGCTCGCATGCTTGTCACTTACTATAAGGTAAACTTGGAGGCCTTGCAATAGTCAGCTTTCAAGATATAATTTCTTTTAAAGACTTTCAGATACTGGTTTATCTCCTTGTATTTAATGTTATGGGTCAAAATTAAATCAAGGTTAAATTTTTTTAACCTGGGTTAATTCTCAGTTTCCTTTGTCTCCTGGCCCTAATTATTCATGAATTAAGGCTAGGAGACAAAGAAAACTGAGAATCAATCTAGGTTAAAAAATTTTAACCCAACATAATTTTGACCTTTAACATATACATTAGTGCCTGCTGCATTTGAGCACTTGCAGTGATTTTGATGTCAGCCAAAAGGAGTTAAGGTCCCTATGGAATTTGGGATTGCTTAATTGAGGGGTGATGAGAGGCGGGGGGTGGGTGCATTGGCCCCAGTCGCACCTGGCCCCACCAGCCGGGTGTTAAAAAAACTGGTTAGATCGAGCATGCTTGCTGTGTCTAAGATCATGTCTTAGTTCAGATGTGATGATCCACATTAATGGAAGGTGACTTCAAGCTGTTGAACTTGTCTCCTTCATCCTTCTGATCTCATATTTAGTTAATTTGAAGGGATGTAAAAAGAATGCACACTGTTTGGAAAGATGTGAAGTTCTTCCAGTAGTGTTGTCCACCTCTGCATCTCTTATCGCTTCACTTATCACACTTCCGGTGCACGTATCTGTATATTCTCTCATACACAAAGCTCATATTCAAATGACCAATAGTGACAGCCAGTGGCTCCTTTGTATGCTGATGACTGTCTGAGCTTTCTGATATAATGTAGACTCATATACATTGTGCAGTTGAACCTTGATTATCCAGACTCGTTGAGACTTGAGTAAATAGTCTGGATAATCGACAGTCTGGATAATCGAAAATATGAATATTAATGAGACAATAATGTAAAGGGATGTACGGAATAATGTAAAGGGATGTATAGGGAATAAAGAAAACAAATTTTATTGTGAATTGGTTCCTACTCGAATTTATGTACAGACTGCAAGTATTTATGTATTTCTAATCCTTTGCTCATCTCAACGCTGTCGGTGAATTTCAGGATCTTCTCTTTGTTTTTGCATATAACTGAAATCTGCTGCTTGCTGATGTTAAACTTGAGGGCTAAATTTGTTCCTTTTTCGCCTTTCTCCAAATGTGAAATAATTGTTTGCTTATCCTTTATCAAGAGAACAGACTGCTTTCATTGCATAGACATGGCTGCAATTTGAGTTTGCGATTGATTGATCTTGTGTTTACATAACCAATATGCGGAATCAAGCATGGCATTCCCTTAGCAACATAACAATATAAATTTGAGCCAATCAGAATTCAGCTGAATGCATCAGAGTAATTGTTCATCTTGTGCCGTTAACACTTTTTCAAAGTGAAACAGATTAATGTTTTTAAACACACGTTTGGAAGGATTGATGAACTTTTAATCATTTCAATTTTTCAAGATCACATCTTATTAATATTCATAATCATGAAAAAAATGAGACCAGGGAAACAAGTCCGGATATTGGAGGTCTGGAAATTTAGGTTCGACTGTACTGCAGTTGTCCTCTCTTCTGCAACATTACACTACACACACTTTCCAAGGCTGTGCTCTAAGAAAAATTGAAGGGGGCCCGCTGCTTTAGACTGAACCTGAACCTGTGAAATCAAGGGTGCTCAGCATAGGATCTTTATGAGTTAACTACGTACAGTAGTACACCATGTAAGAATCCCTAGTTGCTTAAGAGTGATTGTCTACAAGTCTGACATGTCACAGTATTAATCTTCCCTCGGTTAGTAGCATCTGTGAACTGCACCAATATCCTTGTTGGCTCCCTAGCTACGGACTCAACAAATTACCAGAAATTTATGCATTTTGAATTTCCCTTTAACCTGATTGGCAAATTAACAATGACATCTTTAACAGGCCAATCATGGCACTAAGGGGCTCTTGCAGAATTGATCCAACCCTGGGCCCAGTTGTTTGAAGGCTGATTACTGCTAACCCAGGGTTAAATTTTAACCCGGGTTTCTTTCTCTTTTCCTCTAAAACATTTTCCCAGATAATTTTCTCTCTTCTTTTTCTGCATCCAATCATCAACTTGTTGACAAGAAGAATTAAACTAAATTTACTCTTTAAGTTTTCATATCTGAACTCAAATTTCGCACTAACCCTGGTTTATCTTAACCCAGCTTTGAACAACCCAGCCTTGGTTAGTAGCGTATGGGAAGTAAGTCCAATATCCTTGTTCTGAGCTCCCAGTGGGCTTAACAGATAATTACCAGAAATGCATTTTGAATTTCCCTTCAAGAGGGTTGACAAATCAATGGCATTTTAAAAACCCTTCAAGTCCCAAGAGTGACTGACCAATATCAATATTCTCCTCACAATATCAATACATAATCAAGAGAAAAGGTTAGGAGAATCAATAAAATGATCACCTAAGGGAAAATGCTTTGATCTTTGAACAAATTCTCTCAACTAATTCCGTAAGGAAATGTATGGAGTTCAGTTTGGAGGATCATTCTGTATACATGTGGATATTGAGGCTTAAAGGGTTTAACAGGCCAATCATCCTAAAGAATCCTAGTACACAGCAGGTGGAGGCCCAGGACCAGGATTTTAGAACTTTTTCGCGGATAGATTTAATGAGAAGTTTAGTTCTGTCTGTGGTGCAGGGTAGTGTCTACTTCTGTAACTACCCATTATTTTGTCACAGTAATAACTTTTCTTTAACTGGCGTTTATCATTCTTGCCATTAACATATTATTTTTGTTACAATCAATTTATTTTAGGATGGAACAGTTCAAGACTTGATTGAACGAACAGCAAGAGAAGGTGGCCACATCCCAGAGTTAGATATCCTTCATATGTTCAAGTCACTATGTGATGCAATACTAGCATTTCATAGTTTAGATCCTTCACTAGCTCATAGAGATATCAAGGTATATGCATTGTAAACCTGGATTATTCAAATTTTTATCTTTGCTGTATCAAGGACAGTTTGTATATGTTACAGGTCAAAATTAAATTCACAGGCTAAAATTTTTTAACCTTGGTTGATTCTCAATTTACTTTGTCTCCTACAGATGTAGCCCATATTATTCATGAATTAATTTAAGGCTAGGAGAGAAAGGAAATCGAGAATCAATGGTTAAAAAAATTAACTTGAATTTGATTTTGACAAGTAATGTGATAACATATTTTAGTAAAATCCAACTAGTGGTCTATTATTAAGGCTGCATTCTGATTGGCTGATTTACTACTAGGCTATATGTTATAGCCTACTAGTAGCGAAAAGCACTGGCTTTGAAAACCTTCTTCTTTTTTTGACTGAAATAAGTGCGTAACTTCTTTTTTCTTTGGTAGTCATATCTTTTCTAATCTTGTCTGTAGCCAAAACATTTTAATTACAGAATGAAAAGTTTCAAAACTCTCTTCTGTCTTTCCTATGTCATTCATGGGAACAGCTTTGTTCCTGCATTTGTCAAGGCAGGCAAGGTTTCTTTTGATCCCTTATTTGATAACCTTGAGACTTTTAAAATTATTTTCTTGGGAAAAGTCTGAAAAAAAAAAATTCTGTATGACCCCACTTTGCCTATGAGAAGAATGACTGTATGAAGACTTACAGTTTTTGGTTGCAACTTGTGATTTCCAGACAGTTGAGACAATACGAACCAGTGCAAGAAGGCAAAAGGTCAATCGAATCTTATAGTGAAGAAGCCTAACTTGTATATATTGTGGCATGTTTTCCGCTAGCATTATTTGCATAGTATTGATACGTTCTTGTTATGAATATTGTCTTTTGTCTGTTTACTTTGAAAGCCTCATAATTTATTGATTGACGCTGATAATTCTGTGGTGTTGATGGATCTTGGTAGTGTGTCACAAGCCCGGTGCACCATAACATCTAGGTAAACGTCTATTATTCTTCTGATAGTAGGCAGTTGCAAAGTTGTAAAGTTTTGTGTTGAACAAGATAATTTTCTTCAACACAAGTTCTTTAGTTTTGATGTAGGCAAAGTACATGTAATCTACAATGCTGTCATAATTTCCCATCTAAGTCCCTTGTTTCACTCACTAGTTCTTTTTCTAAAGGCAAAAAAAGAACGAAAGTGTAGCAGATTCACTACTCACAAAAGTTTCCCTTTTGATTTTAATACCTTGCTGTTGAACTCAGCAAAAGATCACCTGAGCAACGGTTTATGGTCATCTCGCCACCAACGAATTAGAAACAGAATTCCATGCTCCTTGAAAACACAGCTTCGACTTTATGTATTTTTTTCTCGTAGAAGAGAAGCTCTTGCACTTCAAGAGAAATGTGCTCAAGAATGCACGGCAGCTTACAGGTTGGTCTGTTTTTTAGGTTGTTTGTCAGAATGTTCTATTCACTGTAGAACCTGACCAACTACAAAAAAATTTTTAACTGTAAGCCATGTTGACATACGACAGTCACTAGCTAAGCTGCCAGTTTTTCAGGTCAGAATAGACCGGCTCTTTAGCTTGTATGTTTTATTTTCCCAATGTACATGTAAGTCATGTGATAATACTCTAGAGAACTGTGTCAATCAAATTTCGTCTTATTTCCTTGCATATATGTATGCATAATTTATGAAAAGACAAAGGGGCCCTTTATTTGGAAAAAAGAAAACAACAACTTATAAGAGGCGTAGTCTTCACAGACTATATGCGCATAACCTGGAAAAGATTCAACTGTTCCTTGGTCGTTGTAAAGACCGCTTCATGATACAAGCCTGCTCCTTTACTGTTTTTGTCTTACCATGGCACTGGTTATCTGACCTCATGCTTACATGCCATGCCTTCCATGACTCTCCTACAAAGCCGTAAAATCCAACCTTAAATTGCAGTACTTCATGTGATTTACTTGAACAGTAACAAATAACTACTGTCTTGTAGGGCTCCAGAGCTTTTTGAAGTGCCATCACACTGTGAAATTGATGAGAGAAGTGATGTGTGGTCACTAGGTTGCACTCTGTACGCCATGGCTTATGGTGAGTCACATTTTTTCAAGACTTCACATTCCGTTTCAGTTTACTCAAAAGAGCGTCTCCTTGAATAATCTGGCCGAGTTCCATCAACAGTGCAGCACATATTGATCTAGTCATTTTTTTACAGTACTGATACATGTATAGAAAACTATTGTAATTAAAGATTATGTTCAGAATCAAGTTTATTACCAGTGAGCAAA